GAAGAGTTGCCCAGTAGTACTTTTTTCTCCTTTTGAAACCAGTTTGTTCTTATCTGAGCTCATCCTCTATTCCTTCCTGGATCTTTGAATAATGATTTTGGAGAATACCTTACTTGGCACAGATAGTATAGTTATGCCTCTGTAGTTATCACATACTGTTCTATCGCAATTCTTTTTTTTTTTATTTTGACAATAAGACCTTGATCATGTTTAGTTCACTCCTTAATTATTATTTCTTCGTTCATATCATATTGAAAAGAGTGTTTCTTTTATATGACTTCTCAACAGTTGTAAAGTGAATATTCAATCCGCGGAAAAGCCTTCTGTCCGCCTGCACCACTACTACCCCGAACATCAAATGGTCGTCCGCTAAGGATACGCAAACTTTTTTTATTTATAACTCGGCATATACATTGGTAAAAAACTTAATTCATAGTTTTATGATATTTTGTTTATTCAATGTTTCTTTCTTTAATATTCATACTAACATACACTTTATAAAGTATCCAGTTTTGTGTACACTTAACCCGCACATGGACTAAATTGACTATCAACTACATGTAATCAGAACTTGATTAAAACAACATATAAACATTGATGTTAATGAATGAGAAGGTAATATAGTTTAGTTTAAGTGTTGATGACACTAACATCACACCGAGTTCAGCTCAATGTGATCACAGCCTTATTTGTATGACAGAAATAATCAAACTCTTGTTTAGAAATTCCAATGGGGAACACATATACCATTACCAAGGATCTAAATGTATAAAATCCTAACGATTGTGAAAATGACATGTCTACCATGTAGTTTAGAAGGATACTCAAGAAACTGATGAAGGCCAGAGGTCGAAACGTCTTTACAAAATAGACAAGCAAACTGTTTATTACATTCTGCTTATTGCCTTTTTCGATTTAAAACATATAAATTCATTAGTGTTGCTGTAAGTTTAAAAATTTGGATACCTAATTTCTACAAAAAATATTGCTTAATAACCGATAATACGTTATTCCCAATTGTGAACTTTCCAACAGCGCCTGCATACTGAGTATATATCTCCCAATTGATACGATATTCCCGGGCTTGTGTTTCCTATCATGATTTCCTTGATAGAGGATTGCTGCTCACAAGGAAGCTATTAAACCAAGAGTTCCAAATGGTGAAGTTGAAGTCATCCCTTCGTAAATTTTACGGACGCCACCACGAGTTGGTTGACAGTTATGGAATAACGTTTCACAGATGATATCGGATATGTTCCTTATGTCGTAACTACAATACCCTCCCTTCTCACGAATGTGACTTACCGAATTAGACTATTTACCGGATTTGTAATAACATAAGCAACACGACGGGTGCTACATGTGGAGCAGGATATGCTTACCCTTCCGGAGCACCTGAGATCACCCCCAGTTTTTGATGGGGTTCGTGTTGCTTAGTCTTTGGTTTTCTATGTTGTGTCATCTGTCCTATTATTTGTCTGTTTGTCTTATTATTTTTGGCCATGGCGTTGTCAGTTTGTTTTCGATCTATGAGTTTGACTGTCCCTCTGGTATCTTTCGTCCCTCTTTTATATATAATGTTTCGTCCAGTTTCGTCTTTAATATATAAAAAAAGTATTGTTGTCGATGTCGTGTAAAATTTACATATCTTTTGATTAATATATCTAAATTATATTAATATTTTATTAATTTTTTAGATAATGCATAAGCACGGTTATACCACGACAGGATCAAGTGGAATTGTCTCATGGCTAATACAACACAAAGAGAGGCGCATTGCCATCGTGTGGAACTCACCATATTTTTCAAGCAACAGTATGGGTATTTGCCTAACGACGGTTGGTAATGATACTCATAACGATTCCTGGTCCAATATTATTAGTAAAAAGCAACAGGATGAGAAATTGAAATATGAATTTTCTACGTTTTCTGATACGAGTAGTGAAATGATGATTGAAGATGACGATTTTCAGATATTTGGTTCCATGGGAACCAGTAGTAGACCAGAAGTTAAAATAACACTGCGTCCGACAATGACACATGACCTCTCTTATACAGGACCGCCATAGAAGCCGGAAACATATTGGCATAGAAATGGACTGAAAATTGGGTGGCAACAAAGTTAAACTTCTGAAAATGACAGAAAAAACTTACATAGTTTTATAGAATAAGTGCAGAGTTAGTTAGTGACCTCTTTCACTGGTATCTTTTATATTCTATGTTTTTTTTTTGGCCAAAAAATCACGTTGAGGAGAAGGAGGGAAAGGGGTGCAAGCTGGTTGTCGTTCACATCATACAAGAAGTAGGGCCAGGTCACTTTGATTATTGCACAACCTGAAACAAATGCAATGCCTATCAAACTTACTTTAAGTTAACAATATCACAGCTTCATAGTATGCTTACATTGAAGTTTCGATGACATAATGCAATACTTCTGAGACCACATAATTTAGTTTAAACTACTTGCATAAGACTTTTTGATTCATAAATGCAACTATTCATAGAGGTTTTGACAGATTTTGAGTATTCATTCAACATCAAAATAAAGAGGCTAGTGTAAGATCATAAGAAACCCCTTTACGTTAATTCATCCGAAAGTAAATGATGCTCCATATTGGTTATTGGTATGAAAATAAGAAGATGTGGTTGGATTGCCATTGACAATTCTACACCAGAAACCAAATGACATACTAGTAGAAGGTAGTAATTTCATTATAGTTCACCATACGGCCTTCAACAATTGGCACAGCTCATACAGCATAGTAAGCTATTACAGATCCCCAAATGACACGAGTAAAACAATTAAAACGAGAAAATTAATAGCCTGGTTTATGTACAATGCAATAAACGAAAAAATAAATATGGCAGGTTTAAACACGTAAGCTGGCGCCCAACCCTCCTCCTAGACTGGGACAGTGGTGCAACAGGACAACATAAGAACCAACTGTACACAACAATAAACGAAAAGCAAATATTATGATTTACAGCAACAAAACGACACCCACCCAATTACATGTACAGACTACTGACTTAGGACCGACATATATAGAAAATGTTTAAACCTGTTTTCGCCCCTTCTAACTTGGGAAAAAGCACAACATAAGAACAAACTATACAAGTCAGTCGAAAAGAGTTCCTTTAAATCCAAATTATAAGAGTACGAAAGCACGCAGAATTGACAATATTTTATCAAAATTGACTTCATGATACGGTTGTATAGTATTTCTATATATGGAATGCAAGTGAATCTGCAGGGAAGTCTTTTTAGACGTTTTGGGTGTTTTCTATTTTACAAGTTTCTCCAGGGTTTTCCAGTTTCATAACATTTTCCAGTGTTTAAAACAAATAAGCGAAATTTATCGATTGTTTTATACACATTGCCAAACGTTAATGAGGGGCCAATAGGTGTAATACCACCAAATCAACGAAAAAGGGTCGAAAAAAAATATTCCCTTGAACGTGACATTTGTAGGAAATTAATCCTACATTTCATTGCAGTAAAAAAATTTCTTACTCAGAAATATGTATCTTGGGTGTTTCAAAGCACCATTATTTTTTATTTGGTGTTTCTATAGAATATTTTGGACACTTCAGGTTACATGGTTACTAAAGCTTGTACACAGGAAAAATAGGGGAGAAAGTTTGATTGGTTAACTTCCAGTGATGGTTATTTTCTTATATGCAATGAAATGTCATGTGAAATTTTGTCTATAGTACTGGACAGGATAAAACTTTACTCATGCCGAGTATTTCTTTATTTGAAACAAAGATAAATTCTGCACATATTTTTGAAAAGTGCAAATTTAACAAAGACTTATACAGGAAAATCAATGGTGGTATTACACATATAATGGGAAGCTGCACATGCACCTTTGACCTTTTGTGTTCTCTCATTTGTTAAAATTTCATGCTATTTAAGTGAAATATTTCAAATATTAAATATTCTGAGTGGATTGAGTCTCAAAAACACATTTTATGAGAAAATTGCCTTAAAATAGGACTTTACCATGAATATAAGTAGACAGAGCAAGTCATACTCCTTGTTTTTGGGAGCTTTTTCTGACTTTTTCGCCTTATTTCTTATATATAGCTATAATTTTCTTTTGAATTATTGATCTCTAGGCGACTCAAGAAAACAGTTTCTGGACAAATTCTATTGTAATAGAGTAAACGCAATTCAATTTTGTAAATTATTACAAACCACACATAGAAATAAGTTAAAATATATTTAAATTTAAAAAGGTTAAAATTTCACCAGCAGGTCGTCTTGGTTAGCCTTTGCCTGTATGTTTTTCTATTATGATAACTAAATGATCTATGTTTTTTAATTTTAGTTCATTTATATGTTTTGGAGTTTAGTGTGACGTCCATTCTCACTGAACAAGTACACATTTTTGTTTATGGGCCAGCTGAAGTCCGCCTCCGGGTGCGGAATTTTCTGCTGTGTTGAAGACCCATTGGTGGCCTTCGGCTGTTTTCTGCTCTTTGGTCGGATTGTTGTCTCTTTGACACATTCCCCATTTCCATTCTCAATTTTATTGTATAGTAATTGTAACATTCTTATCTTGTCATGTGCACAATTAATTTTGTATACTATGTATTATTATTTCATTCTTTGTACCAATGTTTATACAATGGTTTTAAAGAATAAAATTGTCTTGATACAAGGCATCCTGCGGTCATTAAATTAGGTTAATCAATCAGATTACAATGTAAATTTTTTATACTTAGTTGTTTCTTACCAAAGAAACTTGTTCATGTGTAGGTGTAAATGTTTATAAAGTTTTTAACATTTTTGAAGTATCAAGTTCTTGTTTTAACAGGCATGCGCAAAAAGTAAACACTTGTATCCGGAATCTATATTATGCATGTTAGGTGGCAGAAACCAGTTATTTTACAATAAATCTTTAGAATTTCATGGATTTATGATTTAATTTTCCTGAAAAATCTTTCAAGCTTATATACAATTAAAATGTATGGTTTTGAGTAACAAAGATGTGTGCGTGCTTATGTGAATATATAGAAAACCTTTAAATTTGGGTGTCTCTGATGCTCTGATACAAATCTAATCCTCACCTTCAGAATCCTGCTAAAAGCCAACAAGAATTTTAGGCAAAATTCAAGAGATAAATGATATTCAATGAATTAGAGCCTTGTCCGTACCTATCCTTACCATCAAAATCTCAAGATATTTTTGTTTACATAAAACTGATTTTTTTCCCACTTTGATTGGATGCCGTCAAGTTAGGAGACCACAATTTTGACTTCTGATTGGACCCATGTGTGACGGAAATCCCAAACCTGTGTATTCAACTACTTACTTATGTAGTATAATAGCCTAGAATTTACATTCATTTATTTTTTCAGTCCAAATGATCCAGTTATATACCTCATTGCTTTACTATAACAATATTTCTGCGTGGGACACATGTTCTTGCACACCAAAACTGGTACCTGCCACCTTTAACCACTTAATGGAAAGAACATATTTCCATTTTGTTAGTCTGATTGAGTTCTGTAGTCATTTACCATTAAAAAAACATGCAGTTCATATGGTTACAGCATAAAAAAAATCATACATAGTTGTAAGACCAAATTTATTAAAGCAATATTTTTGTCTTTTGCCGTCAAACTGCTTTGAACGACAAAAAATTAGAAAAAAATGATTGTGTTCATATTTAATAAATTCTATTGTGTGAGTTTTCTGGTACAGTGTATGAATTATCCAACAGTTCTCAAAAATTCTTTAGTTTATTGTTTTATAACATGATATAAAACCACTTACAACTGATCTCAAGAAGTATTTTTCCATTGTCCGAGGTATTAAATAGTCTCCAATCTTGTCACTATCATTGTTCTGTTGACTGCAGTGCTGAAAAAGGCTTAGTTATGAATAAACTTTTTTTTTTGGTACATATGTATCACTTTGTAGATCCATGATGCACTAAACTAAGTTTACATTTATTCGCAATCACTCTCATATCTCTTCTCCACATAAGAGAGCTGTGTAGGCCGCAAGTTAAAATTTTAGAATTGCCACACTATTCCTGATGAGAGAGACCAGTTTACTTATTTCTGTAGCCTGTCCCACTGTACTAACTATGTATTAGACCTATAAAAAAAGAAGAATTCATATATTCATAGTTAAAAAATAAATAAATACGAAAATGTCCATATCATGTGAAATAAATCATTATACATGTTATAACAGGTAATATACAGTATATTCAGCTTTTCTTAGTATTATGCTGAGACTTATTTTACTTTTTTTTCTCTTTGTAATTGCTTTTTCTTTATATTTTATGATATAAAATCATTCTATGGTGAATATAATCATTTTAAAACTAATCAATTGAATGTCATTGTTTGTCATAGGATACAGAGTTATATATCTTGATATTTGATCATTCTTAAAATCCATGTAAAAATTATATGCTTGCAAACAGACCTATACATTGGCTGTGAATAAAAGAAACATAACACCTCACCTCTAAAACTCCTAAAAAGGCACAGTTTATCATATGTTAAAATCATGTTTAGGCTTAAGGTGGCAGAAACTAAGATGTGTGCGTGCTAATGTGAATATATAGAAAACCTTTAAAGCTTTCAAGCTTATATACAAATAAAATGTATGGTTTTGATTAACTAAGATGTGTGCGTGCTTATGTGAATATATTGAAAACCTTTAAATTTGTGTGTCTGTCCAGCATGCAGAATTTAAAATTCATAAATACATTGCAAATAAGGCAAAAAATGTGATGCTCTGATACAAATATAAGCCTCACCTTCAGAATCCTGCTAAAAGCCGACAAGAATTTTAGGCAAAATTCAAGAGATAAATGATATTCAATGAATTAGAGCCTTGTCCGCACCTATCCTTACCATCAAAATCTCAAGATATTTTTGTTTACATAAAACTGAATTTTTTTCCCCACTTTGATTGGATGCCGTCAAGTGAGGAGACCACAATTTTGACTTATGATTGGACCCATATGTGAAGGAAATCCCCAACCTGTGTATGCAAATACTTACTTATGTAATAATAGCCTAGAATTTGCATTCATTTATTTTTTCAGTCCACATGATGCAGTTATATACCTCATTGCTTAACAATAACAATATTTCCCCGCGTGGGACACATGTTCTGGCACACCAAAACTGGTACCTGCCACCTTATGTATTTTTTTTAACAAAAGTGAAGTGTAGATTTGTCACCCTTATAATACAGGTAAGGTATTTTGAGCGTTGACGTAAAATTTACTTATTTAAAGCTCACAGTCATCATTCTTATTCTTATATTTATTGATCAAATATTTGTTAACTCTATTGTAAAATTTTAATAAACAGAATTTCTTTCTACATTCATTGCTCAAGAACTAGTGTCATATATAAAATCCAGTCATGACCTATATATATTTATTATATATAGACCTGTGTTTTTGACAAATATATAGTGTATACTACAGTGTAGACACACACAATTATTAGAACACCGACCTGTTGAGCCTATGATACACTTTAAACATTAAAAACATCACTGCTACTAAAAGCTGCTAGCTGTCGTGTTGCCCAGTGTAATTTTCACTGAAGCATTGATGAGGGGCGTAAAGGGGGGGTATCTGCACGGAAGAACGCGAAATAAAATTGCCATTTCACGATGAACGAACAATTAAAAATTTCTTGCACGTTGATCTTTTTACCGATTTCACGAAACACGGTGAATAATGAACCTTTTTCACGGCTGCACGTGAAATAAAAATGGCAAAACACGTTGCACGAAAATAACCCTTTACCACCCTCATTGATGTATGTATGTAGTCATGGTGAATTATTCACAAACAGCAGTTATGTATGTAGTCAAAACACAATTGTATTAAAATGTACAAACTTTTTGTACAATCAGTTTTATACTTATTAGTAGTTAAATGTAAGAATTTTGTGTACAGTACTAATACATTGTAACCAAAGATAAATAGTATCTTGTTGTTCACCTCGGCCATCATAGAACTGACTTACCTTTTAAATTTCTATACGATACGGTTGAGAAATTAAGATGAAATAAGATAAGGTTGATGATTGAATCATAAGTATCTGAAACTAAGATGTCGATTTTGTTCACATATACGATTAAAACTACTTTGAAATCGTAAATGCATCAGGTATTTATCAAATATATTTATATCTCCTTTTACACCAAGATGTCGTTAAATGAAATTGGATACCCTGCATTTATCATGCTTTTCAATAACATATTGTCAAATCGCTGAAAGACCCCCCTCGTACTCTGAAGACCAGTCTGAAAATTGGTGTATGAAAAAAGTTTAGAATTTTGTTTGTACATTATTTTTTTCCAATCATGTTATCAATATTCAGCAATGATTAACAGTTGAAAAAATGTCAGTGTAAATAATTTCAAATGCACGAATAACGAAAATATATATTCTTTATTCCGAAAGCAATACAGCTTATAGGTATTAATATATCATTAAATATAGTAAACATCACATAGTACAATATAGTAATTCATTAATACTATTCATACAATTTAAATCAAATATAGGAGCATGATATTAATATAATTAAACAATCTTGAAGTATGATATATACATTCAACAATTACGATTTTTTTTTTGGCAATACATAAATACTTCCCAAAATTATTAAGTTCTTTTATATAACGCACAGATAACAATTGTATAAGTTTAAATACTGATGGATTTCTCCAATAATAAGGTTTTATATACTTCGTACGAATATCTTTATATCTAATACATTCCAAAATAAAATGATATTCATCCTCAACAGAATTACAGTTGCACATATTACGTATTCTAGCGTTTCTGTTCATATTTAAAAACCTTACAGTTTCAAAGTTCAAGTTATGTGCATGTAAACGGTACTTGCTTATCAATGGTTTATATCTAAAATTAACAGGTCTATTAATATAAAACTGCAATCCATGACCGTCATATATGTATTTGTAAAACTGACATTTAGAAGACTCCTCAAAAATGACATTACTTCAGAAATAGATCTACCAGTAAAACGCTGTTTGAAATCACCCATAAAAACATCTTCATTTAAAACACTTTGTGTCAACCATACATTACTTAACCCATAATTACATAATAAATCTCTTATTTTACATGACCATATTCAACTTATTTTTACTTTTTACATTGCCAGCCTCCAGCATTTTTGCATAACAATTTTTCAAAATACAATTGTCAGTTTTTAACAATTTACACCAATATTTCATCATTTTACAGTACCTCTGCACATACAATGGGACTCTACCTAGTTCAAAATACACCATGTAATTTGTAGTACTTTTTTTTACTTTCAAAATCCTCTTTAAAAAATATATAAGTGAAGAGTTTCAATGTCAATTGCTTTCTGATACCCCCACACTTCACTACCATAATTAACAATGCTTGAAACATATGTATCAAAAACACAGTGGTGTCTGTTTATTTAAATAGTCTTCTTTGATTTTACTGAATAAATTGAAAAGTTTTTTACCTTGATTTGACAGCATTTTCTGAATATTAGTAAAAATACCATTATAATTTAACAGCATACCCAGATATATAAATTATTCACATAACTCAATATTTTCACCATTAATAAACCATTTTTCTTCTGGTTTGATAACACCTCTGTTTCCAAATACAACAATCTTAGTTTTTAACATATTTATATGCAAATTATACCTTCCAGATCATATTTGGACAACATCTATCATTTTTTGAAGATCGTTTACGTTTTCGCTGAAAATAACAGTATCGTCAGCATACATTAATAAATAAAGATTGAGCATTCTCATGTTATGATTGACAACACAGTTTTATCAATTCTATTTCAATTTCATTGACATACATATCATATTAAAAAGGTGATAAGGATTCTCCTTGCATTAGACCAATGTCACAATTAAAAAAACTCAGGAAAATTTCCCTCATGTTTAACATATGATTTCAAGCTAGAAGACATAGATTTTATTAGATTTAACAATTTCCCGGTTACTAGTATACCACATTCAGCTAATTTCGCCCATAATTTAAAATGCTTAACACTGTCAAAAGCCTTTTCATTATCAATAAAACAACAGTATAACTTTTTCCGTTTCGCGAATATTTTGATATGATGGAATGAAGAGCAAAAATTGCATCATGAGTTCCGTGGCCAGGTCTAAATCCAAACTGTGCGTCTGAGATAATACAGTGTTCCTCGCTCCATTTCAGCAGTCTAGTATTGATAGTAGCTGTAAAAAGATTTCTTATATGAGACACTAATTATATGCCTCGATAATTTCCAGGGTCATTAACGGGATCTTTTTTTAAATAACGGCACTATTATACTTTTCACCCAGAGCTCTGGGAAGAATCAAGTGCATAAAATAACATTAAAAAGTTTACACAATAAAGGTAATAATACTGGCTTGTTTTCAATAATATATTCGTTCACGATATTGTCCACTACTGGAGATATATTCTTGTTTAATCTTCTTATACTGTCTTCGAGTTCCTTTTCGGTGAAAGGTCTGTCTAATGGTTCAAATATACAAGAGATATCGCCTTCTGCCTGATCCTCAGTACTGGTATCATTGTCGTTAAGACAATATGCATTTGCATAAAATAACATTGTTAAACAGGTTATAAATGTCTACGAAATAACTTTCTTAATCAGTGGTTACCAATGTAAAAAAACTTTTGATTTTGTTACCTGTTAAGAAAAGTGTCGTTTCTAGTGTTCTTACATTGAGAGTGTCTGGATATAGTTTAAAACAGACCAGAGAGAAAATAATGACAGAAACAACGTTAACAACACCTGTTGCAGCTTAAAATAGAAATGTTCAAAGGGGTGCCACATGTGAAGTAGGATCTGCTTACCCTTCCGGAGCACCTGCGATCAGCCCACGTTTTTGGTGGGGTTCGTGTTGCTCAGTCATTAGTTTTCTATGTTTTGTTTTGTGTACTATTCTTTGCCTTGTGGTCTTTTTCTTTTTTAGCCATGGCGTTGTCAATTTATTTTCGACTTATGAGTTTGAATGTCCCTTATGGTATCTTTCGCCTCTTTTCCAAAAATCTTAGTAATGCATGATAGATAACACGTGCGGGGATCGAATTCACAGCATCAGTGTTGACAGGCTAGTGATACAGTGGTTGAACTACTAAGACCACTCGGACACCAAAGTCCCTATACGCAATCCATTAATCGTCAATACATTGTTATCTATCAGGCAGGTGGGTTCGACTCCAACCTTAATTGACTAGGGTTGCCAGTTTTCCTACCGTAGGTCGGTGGTTTTCTCCGGGCACTCCTGCTTCCTCCACCAATAAAAACTAGCCGCCACGAAATAGCCAACAGTGCTGAAAGTGGCGTTAAACACATACCAATCAATAAATGAATTGCTAATACTGATGGACCCTAAATTAATTAAATCATTCCTTAGACTTAATGATGATAGCTTGTTTTCATACATGTAGATGGTAAAAAAAACTGCATGTACATTACAATTTACAAAATATGCTGAATCAGTTGATGCGCAGCATGATGATGAAGAGGTCAACAAAGTGGAATGTACAAACGGTTTCAATTCTTTTAAATTGACGGGGTTGGGGAAATCCCTCGTTTCAGCAATCTTTAAATTATCAAAAATCGTAACTCCCTCTTTTCGAAACCATCGGGAACTGCCTCTGTTTTTGAAATATGTGTATGTTTATGAATTGGTCTTATATACATTATATTTAATTTGAATTTCACCTGATTTTTTTGAGACAAAATTTGAGGTTGGGAGGGAGAGTGGGTAAAATTAGCAACGACCTCAACCTCTTTGAACTGTCTCAAATATATTTTCATAAAATTGATTGAAGAAAAACCACTCGTTTTATTTGCGTGTGACTTTTGGTGAATATCCTTTGGTTATGAAAAAAGAGTTTACTTAAGAAACGATAAGTACGCACTTTACAAATATATTGTCATTAACATTTATCCCGAATCTCAATGTTATAAATGATAAAATAAACAAATATTAAACTTTCCGAAAGCCTCACATAAACTATGGGAGGCTGTAATTATTACGAACAAAGAAACAAGAACTTTATACTATGTGTAATATATCCATCAAGATAAATAACTGTAGTATAGCTTATAATAAATTATCAAAAAATCTCCTTATTTGACGATCCCGTAGGCCAGGTAAAAAAAAAGAAGAAGAAAAAGCATAAACTCGTATCAAACTAATTTCAAAATACAGTCCTACAGTATTTGAATTGTAATGAAACAAATGGTGGAAACCTTTGCTCAAAACCAAATGTTCAAAAGACCGTCTCCGGAGTAAAACTTTCGACAGTAGATATATTATGAGAAAATCTACTTAGAGATATAAATGAAATAAATTAACCCTGTATTCTGTATATCAGTGCAATCAGCAAACAAAATATATAGTCCATGCACGAGAAAATATGTACACATATCATAAAAATCTGATGAATATTAAATGTAAAAACTCGAAAGAAACGATATGTCCAAATATCGCTAAGAAACCTGACAGTATCAGTGTTGGTTGTAATTTTCCTGTTTTTAAAGCTCTACAACTTTATATCTGATTTTGCCTTCCAAATGTCTTGATTCGAGTGCCACTGGTGAGTCTTATGTAGACAAAGCGCGCGTCTGGCGTGCTGAATAAGTAATACTGGTATCTTTGATGAATTTTTACAATTACTGAGTCGAAGCCACTGCTGGATTACATTTCGTCTCCGAGGTTATCACCAGCCCAGTTGTCAGCACTTTTGTATTGACATGTTCATTTTCTGCAAATTTATTACTATTTATATTTTTTTTTTTTTTTTTTTTTAAACTTAATTTTATTGACATAGATATAAGAAGATGTGGTATGAGTGCCAATGAGACAATATTTACTTTTGTTAAAAGATACATCAAATACCGGTACCTTATCCCGGCCTCGTTAACATTAGTATAGAGCATATATTATGGTTAGTTGTGTTACAATGTAGTAGACAGATTTTCATTAATCCGGATATAATTTATGTCTTCACCTGGATGATTTTTTATACTAATTGCTTTGTTTACAAAATAGCTTGATAACACTTGTAGTGATTTAAATATGTAATACATGTACACATTTGTATCTGATCTAATATGTATTAGCCAAGGAATTTTACCAAAATATTTGTTTTTGGAGGATTAATGATATGCCGTTATTCTATTCTGTTGTGAATGTTTGTTTGAAATTTACAAAATATATCTACAGTAAAATCGGGTGCTATTTCTCATTCAGTTGAAGGTAATTTTCATTGACTAAGTGTTCTTGTCATGTTAGATGTCTTATATCTTGAATAACATTAAACTATAGTAAATGTTTAGTTTACAACAATAAAAAGAGACAAATAATATAATACAAATAATAACACAAGAATAAAACTACTGTAACAGTTGTATAAAAATACAGTCAAAGCTCAAACCAAAATTCATAAACACTATAATATATTTATATTTGTACGACTTTGCCCCCAGCAGAGCTATAGAAAAACAGTACATTAACGGGTGTTACACGGACACTTTTTAGATGATACACGGACACTTTTTAGTTGTTACATGGACACTTTTTATGAATAGAATCACTCGTGCACGATCAGTGAGTTCATGGGCACTTTAAATTTCAATTAGATTTGAACTTTTTGTTTCACCGACATATTTCCTGTCTTTTTATTAAAATATTTACGTTGGCATCAATAACTATAATTTTTTGAAACAATTCTAGTATATAATTACTATTCATATCAATACGCTTAGGGGTTGACCATTTAACTTCAAAGGGTGGGGAAAAGGGGGGGGGGGGGGGGGGGGGGGGGGGTATGGTTTTTTTCCTAAAAAAATATTCTGATCCCCAATTTTATGAGAAAAAATATATTGTGGTCAAGCAGATGACAAAAGAATGTTCTGATTCCTGATTTTCCAAATATCGTATGTAATAGACTAAGTGCTTATTTCGAAAAAAAATATTTGGGTGATAGCATTGAAAAACTAAATAATTTTCTTACCCAAAAAAACATACCCCTTTGGAAGCTAAATGGTCGGTCTGTAAATATATTTTTTTCAATATATGGACATGAATAGTATTCTGGACATTGCTGAAAGTAAAGAAATGCTGGTACCGACGTTTATATTTCAATAAAAAAGACAGGAAATATATATAAAAAAATCAAATCTAATCGAAAGATAAAATCCCTATCAACTCACCAATGCACGATTGATCCTATAAATAAAAAGTGTCCGTGTAATACATGTTCAAACAGGCAGCAAATCTTGAAGAAAATCATTGAACTTATGTCACCAATTTTGGACGGTAAGCTCCGATTGGATAATATTGTGACACGTGTTTAATCCTGATCAACACGATAAGAGACATATAAAAACCTATTAGCATGAAAATTAGAAAAAAAAATCCAAAATATATGCCTATATATATCAAATAACAAGACAAAATCCATTTTTTTCATAACATTTCATTCACTAATGAAATAGGAAATTCATTATTTATATCCATTTATATTGTAACAGTTATTGAATTCATATATATGGGAGCAAACGAACGATTTTTATGACTTCTTAAGGGGAATGGGGGAATGGAATGGCACATCCTGCATTTTTTCAACAAAAAAATGATCAAGCCTGTTTATTTTAAATTTATTTTACACCCCCCCCCCCCCTTTTCCCCCTTTTCCGTTTTTCCCCAAATAAAAATCAAATGTTAGCTTGCTTACCTCTGAAATCTTTTTCATACATTACTTACATGCGAAGTTGCATTTTAAAAAGTCTCAAATGTGAACGACATTCATCTTTTACTTGACATGGTTCTTTTTTATAAAGTTATTAGATTCTTGAATTTCTTGAGAAACAAAAAAAACTCTCGGCTGAAGGGAAGTGAGAAAAAAGTTTGTTTAGACTGTAACTTACATTAACTGGTATATGGCCATTTAAGTTTCTAATCTGTTTAATTTTGCTACATCTTTTAAAGGCAAAATGTAATACTTCTTTCTTGAAACGTCGTACAAGTCAGATACAAAACAAAGGTAACAAAAAAACAGGCCGGAAACAACTTGCCGTATAGTTCTTCTGCACTTGTAGTCAGGTCAAGGTCCTCGGCTATTGCCTCGGACCTTGACCTGACTACTCGTGCAGAAAAACTATCCGGCAACGGTTGTTACCGGCCTGTTTCTTTGTTACCTTTGTATTGTATCTAATACATATTTCCCAATGTGTCTACTACAGTCGTTTCACGTTATTTGTTTTCGAAAAAATCACAGATCATCTATGAGGGGGGGGGGGGGGGTAGGAGAGGTCCTGATCCCGAAATCCCGGGCTTAAAAACATGGAATCCCGAGGTCCCGAATTTAAAAAAATTTAAATCCCGACATCCCGAAATTCGAAAAAAGAATTCCCGGATCCCGAAAGGATCAATCCCGAAATCCCTAGCTTAAAAACCCCGATCCCGGAGTCCCGATAAAGGTCCTACCCCCCTCATCTATGAGAATGATTTTAAAAAAGCTTTATTATACCCTCATTTGACTAATTCCTGTTATTTTTCTATTATAATGTAATTGCATTTACTAGATGGATTGAAGAGACAAAAGGAGTATGTACAGACCACTTTGTTCATTCAAACAAAGTTGTTCATTCATGTCAGACTTATTGTCTGTATGTAGGAGTAATGTTTCCACTGAATGGAGAGGGATAATAAATTGAACTATTGAAGTATTAAACTTTTGAAGAGGTTAAGTATTGAAATGGCTAGCGTTTCAAGACGTCAGGACAGATTCAACAAACAAAAGGACGTCACTCAAAACAATGACAGTAACGATGGTGTATCTAAAGACGTTAGAATAGCATTCAGGACGACACTAAAAGTAAAGACAGAAATGATGATGCAAACACAGGTATAATTCTCTCACATGCTATATTAAGCATATTTTTTCATGCGCAGTGGTTAGAAAATTGGAATGTATTGGTGGTGTTTTTGGCTATTATCTCGATATGTCTTACAGATATAGAACAATCATTTCCTAAGAACGATAACCACGTTTATGATCTACCATTCTTCCTGTTGGTATGATTATATTTACCCAATTTTTGTAGGCCTTTTTATCTATTTTATTATTTTTTTTGGTGGGAGGGGGGCATTTCTTGAAAACCTTTAATAGAAAGAGCTGTAAACAGCACATATTATCAGCAGACCAAGATCTACAAATAGTCAATGGATGTCTTATAGAAGTTATTGGCTTTGAATGAATATATTTACCCAATTTTTGTAGGAATTAATTTTTGGGTGGGGGCATTTCTTGAAAACTTTAATAGAAAGAGCTGTAAAAAGCACACGTTATCAGCAGACTACGATCTTCAGATAAATCTATATAACACAAAAACAAAAACTTTAATGGGTTTGTTATAAATTTCTTATAGGATTTATTGGCTTTAAATGACAATTTTAATACAAATTTGCGTTTTTGCTATGATCTTGAAACACATAATAAATAGAGAGAAACTATAAAGAGCAAACATGATCAGAAAAAATAGGACCTCGAAATAAGTAAAACATAACCGAAATGTTTCATTGACGCATTATAGGACTTCTTATATGAGTTATTGCTCATTAATAATGATTTTTACCCATTTTTTGGCATATTTTGCCAAAACTATAATAGACAAAGAAATTTGAAAACAACAAAAATTACCAACAAGACAAGATACGCAAATGGATCAACACAAACTGAAAATGTGAATCGACTCACTCTTAATAGAAGTTTTGCATTTTAAAGATAATTTGTACCCCATATGTTTGTCTTTTATCGTAAAAACTATATTAGATACAGATTAACTGAAAACCCGCAACTGACAATGGACTAGACGTTTCGGATACAGTTGTCCTTTGATGGAATTTTTTAATGTATTTTTTTAATCAGAAAGACAAGATATACTGGTAACAGCTAGAAACCAAGAGATAAAATTAGTCAATTCACTCCTTTTAAGGTAATTTTCCTAAAATGACTATGCACTTTTTAAAATTGTTTTCGAAGTGGATCAGGATCAAACCAAGTCACATTTATACTCAGTGTGTACAGATGGTTGTAGGTGTTACCCTAGTCACACTAATACTCAGTGTGTAAATACAGCTGTATGATTTAATCTTGTCACACTTATACTCAGTGTGTAAAGATAGCTGAAGGTGTTAACCTAGTTACTCTTATACTCAGTATGTAAAGATGGCCGTAGATGTCAACCTGGTCACATTGATAATCGGTGTGTAAAAAGAGCTGTAGGTGTTAACCTAGTCACAGTTAAACTCGGTGTGTAAAGATAGATGTAGGTATTAACCTATTCACATTTAAACTCGGTGTGTAAAGATAGCTGTAGGTGTTTAGCTAGTCACATGTATACTCAGTGTGTAAATACAGCTGTATGTTTTAATCTTGTCACACTTATTTTCAGTGTGTAAAGATAGCTGAAGGTTTTTTACCTGTTAACACTTATACTCATTGCGTTAAGATAGCTGTAGGTGTTAACCTAGTCACACTCATACTCAGTGTGTAAATACAGCTGTAGGTTTTAATCTTGTCACACTTATACTTAGTGTTTTAAGATAGCTGTAGGTGCTAACTTAGTCACACTTGTATTCACTGTGTGAAGAGGGATGTAGGTGTTGTTTAAGATTTGTGATGTTGCACATTTTTGTACGATGAGCAATGTAAGCGCCTGGCAGCCCATCGTTTTCAATGTTCGTTTGTTGTTTTGTTTTTTAAACGAAACTATCCTTGATAGTCGTAATAATTCTACTCTTGTGACTGACTTGGTGAAAAATATCAGAGCAATGACAATTTGTTAACTTATAAGTTTATTATTAGCTAAACATATCATAAGAGTAACGGGGAAAATAACTGATGAAATCTTTGGGAAACCAATCCAATCAAGGTCAAGGGCAAAGACTCTGGTATCGGTATAGCGGTAGTTAAAAATCTTTCAAATCTGATATAACTTCGTATGCAAAACAAATTTGTATTGTTTGAATTTATTTTAATCATTTTCTTGTCAAACAGGAAATAACACGCAAAACCAATCAAGCAGGAGTCGAGCTACTTGGAATGAACACACGATAACCTCCATGGGAGATTCAACACGGCTCGGCAGTTCTCTGTATGGAACAAACCTGTCTAAGTTATAACTATATGTCATGTTTTATTAACGTGAGCACATTTTAGTAATGTAAATAGTAAAAGTTCTATTTAAAGCAGTCACAACAATTTATACTAAATTTAACTTTTTTTTATAAACTTCTAATTTCTGTTAGTTATTGACTTTACTTTAGAGTTTCTTTTGCGGTTTATCGATGTCTGTTGATTTTTGCTTGTATAAAGTTCCATCGAAAAAAAGTCCATTGCGTTGGTCGAGTAAACTAAATGTCTCTCGAGACAAGTGAATAAACCAGATGTCATAATTCGTATTGTTCAGTCTTTGGTTTTCTGTGCTGTATTGTTTATAATGTTGTTCGTCGTTTTTTCTTTTTTCGTCAACCTTCATAATTTTTTATACGATCCTTGGACAGTGGTTTCAGGAGAAAAAAAATGATAATTATTTTTTTCTTATGAACATTACTGGTACAAGGACATATAATGTAGTTGTTTTTGTGGTGAACATTATATACAGTCTAGGGTTCACGCTTTTTTGGATATAAAAACTTCAACAAAAGCTTTTTCAAGATCTAGAAATATAATCTGAAGAAAACTTTGAATTATTTCTAATGTTCCATGTTTTACCGAATCAGATAAATGAACCAAGTGTTATTTAAACTAACGTTTACTTGTAGATACGGTCTAAATTAAAAGTTTAAAACGCCAATAGCCTTGTTAACGTATTTGCATATACATACCTTGATCACAACTTTACCTAGACTTAATTTTGAATTGTATATATACTAATGAGGAATTGGAGCTAAACTTAAAAACGAATCACCACTGTTTAAAATGTAATTATAGTGTGGACAGCTTCTTGAAAATTTAAACAGTTACAAGAACCTCTAGATATGAAGAAGAGATGTTTGGAATACGACAATTAGTCAAGAACCTTAGTCCTATCACAACAATATAATCAAAAACTACATTACGTCTTGAGCAAAACAAGAATCAGAAGCAAAAATCAACTCCTAAGTCAGCCCGAGTCTGTATGGTCTTTAACAAGTTTTAAATTTGTTTATTATCGAGCATCAAAACCAAAGAGAATTACACTAGAACAGCTCACTGAACAATTCAAACCTTACGTACAAAACGAGATGTGAGGTATAAGCCAATAAGACAGCAGCCCAATGACCCCAAAACACAGAAAGACAGTTAATTTTAAGAAAAATAAAAAAATTCCTTTACCGATGAAGTAGTAGTTTTATATAGATATATTTCAGTACGCATTTCGCGTGTTTCTAGAATAAACTTCTTTTATATGGTACGTATGAGATTTTGAGAAGCCAAAATAAATTACTATCATATTTACGCTGACCGCAGCAGAACAGACAAAATTCATATGAAACTTTTCTTGTTGCCCCCTCCCCTCTTGACTGATATTTCCCTTGATTCATTCTTCCCTCTTACCCCTTTCATTTTTGCACTGTAGTTAGTGAATATAACAATAGACTCTGTCTGTCTGCACGTTACACGTTCTTGTTTACGCAATAATAATAATAATTGATTGTTGTTTGCTTAACGTCAAATAACAAATAGTCCATGCATGTTCAGGTCGAGAAGAATTTAGCAATAAGTCTGATAGGTAGGTTCTGTAAACTGGGTCGACCGGGACACAGAACGACAAACTTAGACTGTCATTGGAAAATAAGGGTATATTGTATACTTAATATGACAGAAATTTTGCCTTGCAACAGGTCTTTCACAGACCCCTTAAACAGTTGTATCAATGGCTCCTTGCAATGCATAGAGCGTGGCACTCTTCCCACATGAGGCTTCGTATTAAACGTCTCCATTCTGACTGGAGACGACTGCGTATTTATACATCCCGCAAAACCCACTCCCATTCTTTAGCATGGGCTATAGTGCCGTACGGGGAGAAGTCCCGTTGACATTATATATATACCCCGGTCAACCTTTGAGTTGAACTTGAGAAAAGTATTTTGGTTTCTATTGGTCTATGGCATGGAAAATTGGAAGAGTCCGACGAACATGGTAATGTATTTTCTTCTTCCTGTGGAATTACGTGCTGAAAGAAACGAACAATTGACTAGTTAAGTAACAAAAATATAATTCAATGAACATTTCGTATTGTACACAATAATCGTTTTAAAAATCTAAGTGTTACTATGTTTTTTTGTAATCGTTGAATTTCTTTCTATTTTAATAATTTAAAACTGATTGATTAGAATACAGAAATTTTGCATGCAAAGAAATGATAATAGATTTTATCCATTAAGTTGTTATTTGAAAAAAAAGATCATGTCCTGTTTTGGAAGTGAAGTTTACCATCAAAAGATTGGCACTCTGATGTGGACTTACTGTGTCTTTACCATCGACGTTTTCTTATTCAACTTTACAAATGTCCATATAAAATGCAAGTCTTTAGATTTTTTCAACACTAAATTCAAATATCAAGAAGAAAATTTTGAATTTACAGGTATTTCGATATTTTTCGAAATGTCGTTTCACCTGGTTTGTATTAATTTAATGACATTTCTTTAGATAGCACACAACACGGCTACGAAATAACAGGACCAAGCGGAATTGTTTCGTGGTTAATAAAAAACACAGAAAAACGGGTTGTGGTCGTGTGGAGATCGCCGTTTTTAGCCAGCAATATTATGGGAGTGTGTTTGACTACATATACAGTAGGAATAGACGATCATGATAGTTCATTGTTCAATAAAGTTACACAACGGAAAACAGATGCGAATCTCAAATATAAATGTTTTACTTATGACAATGTGATAAGGAAATAATGATAGAAGATTACGATTTTCAAATATGTGGTTCAATGGGAACCAGTCATAAACCGGAAGTCAAAATAACTGTCCGGCCAATAAACAAGCTAGACCTGTCTATCGCCGATGGGATACAATAACCGGTGAAAATATTTCTAATGAATGAATCAATAGCTGTGATTTTGATGCGGGAGATGTCGCTAATAGATTATTGGACAATAAATCCCATGTACTGTTAACAACTACACATATTCACAACCACTATTAAATATGAACATATATGTACATTAGTTTTCCCGCGTTTCGGCTATTAAATGTAATATCAGGATCGAACATGTCTGTATTAACGATGTGTAAAGCAGGTATTGTCCGATCGAAACTGTTTTTTTATCAATTGATTAAACCTTAACGGTATATTTTCAAAAAATGTCGAATTTTCAGTACACCCATGCTAAAATTTGTATTTCTAATGGAAATTTCAGTTGTAATGGTTTAAATGAAAGCTTGTCGGATTTATGATTCAGAACATTGATAATAAACATGATTTACATCTATTTTGATAAGATTAAAATATATCTAAGTCCGATTTTAGGGGTATTTGTGTGCGTACAGTGTCAGAAAAACACATTGCAAATGATTTTTTCCCGATTTTCTGATCGCCTTGATATGCAAAAGGGACTTTTTAAGAACGTTAATAATTACTCTAACGAAAAATCGTAGCTTCTTAATCATTATATGTAACATATTATCTACAAACTAAATTCAATCAGCGTACGGGAGGTTCATGTCCATCCTGTTACCGCTACTTAAATCAGCCGTGATATTGTTCTCCCTATGAATATCGAATCAGTCAATGTTGATTTCAAAAGTTCAAAGTTACCTTTACATTTAAAACACCATGTTTCTTGTACGACAGTGTAGAGAAAAGAAATTTTAAGACATTTAGTGAAAAAAATAGAGGGTACTTTTTTCATGTCTATGCTGTTACCAACAATTTTGATTAATTACACCAAAAGCATACTTGTAAAAAGTGCAATAACGTGTTGGAAATCAAATTCACAACAGAAAACCATAATCACTTCACCAAAGGGAGTAGTCATTTCACAACAGCATTCAAAAATGAAGAAATTTGTCTATCCTGTTATGTCTATCCTGTTACTATGGTTGCTATGGTTACAGTAACAGGATAGACAATTGTAGACAGAAACGTCGTTAAAAAAATTATCTTAACATATAGTTGCTAAACGAATGAAATATTTCGTTGTTTGAACTCATCTTAAAGTTATAACGTCTTATTCTTCCCATTTAAGCATTTGCAGGTGCAATACTGATATCGGTAACAGGATAGACAAAAAGGTAACAGGATAGACTTTTATATAGTGACATATCATAAACGTACGTTCCTGTTACCAATGAAATAAAGAGAAAAGTAAACTAACTTATGAGGGATTTACTTGATGTTGGGTATATTTGAAAGAGGGAAAAAAATGCCGAACAATATGAATTGCTATCTTAGACTTGCATTACTGGTGGTAATTTTTACAACCTTTGAAAACCAATTTTTAGAGGCATTTTTCAGTACAACCTGGAAAATTGGCAAATAATCTATTATTTTACAGAATGAATATATATAGAAGTTTATTCTCTTGAAAACCATCTAATTGGCTACGTAAAACAAGCTTAAAATTTTATCTAAACCTTTTCTTAATAACCCAAAATTTATTTTGAAAATGGTAACAGGAGAGACAAAATATTGTACCACCTATCAAAAAATGTTTCAAGATATTCTTGTATGACATTATTAAGGTTGCATTTTTTAACATGTTGTTCTTTAAGTACTGTTTGTTTTGATTTGCTTATGTAGAGGGTTGTTTGAATAAGAAACTTTTAATAAATTTTTCAATTTAAAAATTCGACATTTTTTTAAAATGACCCTTATACGGGTTCATGTATTTTCCTTTCTGGTCGTCATTTGAACAGGTCGGGCCCACTAGAATTCTGACGTCAGAATACATTTGCATGGTAATTTTCCAAATATGAAATGTAAATTGACCAATCGACACTATGAAACACAATGCATTGTGGGTTGCTGCGAGTTTACTATCACCTAATAATACGTGTAACTTGGTTGAAAATAATTTTCTAGTATTGAACCCCGGAATCTCTTAATTGTTTATTATTTTTGCTAATCAAATGTACTGTATATATAACATAATCTTCAATTTGCATGCTCCGACTTCAAAAATATTGTTCCAGCATTCCAGTTTTATTTTCGTCTTGTCAAAGTAGTAAAAAACCGGTTTCGTCTATTGTTATGCACTGTACATG